CTGCACCTTGTGCTGCATTAACGCGTAATTCCCTCAGAGGGGCATGAAAGCGTATTTTTAAAAATTTTCTGAAAACGAAAGAAGAAAAAAAAAAAAAAAGCCCTTAATAGAGTAGAATAACAAATCTGAGATACCGGTGCACTTCAGTGGTGGTTATATCAGGCTGCTAAGACATTTCTTCTCATTAATAGGTTTCAGGAATACAAAAACAGACACTTAATCTAGGCGCTCTCCGGCAGTTGAATAAAGTACAGTTGATATGAGTAATGAGGTGTCCTTTCACATCTTCTGTTCTTCTGAGCCGTATTAGCGCCGGGGACCTGAGAGCATTGCAATTGGTGAGAGACCAGACAGCCAGCATCTGTCTCTCTCCCCTCCACTTAAACACAGCCCAACACACACGATGGGCTTCGCGCTCCTACACATGCTCACGCAGCAGTCCGGACATCTGGCGGGGCTCTACTGGGTCCTGCCACTGTGGTACTGGGACTCTTACAAGGACTAAAGATACTTCAGCGGTAATGACACATCCCTGTTGACCAGACCGGGCAGGAAAACAGGAAGTGGGGACAAGACTGGGGGTCAGAGAGGTCGTCCGTCTTGGGAGGGTGATTTAAATACAGTAGAACAGAGTCACGGAGACACGGAGAGAAATAACGTCCTCTGCCCGAGGCCAAGGTAAGAGATGTGAGTAAGTTTTAGGTTTGACTGGATTCCAAATAGAACCGTCATTGAACTGAGCTGAAAAAAAATTATTGTTTTAATTTAATTTCCTTTGTAATGTTTTCTTCTTCTTTTAATCCCTTTAATACAGAGTTGTGCATATGCCCCACATTACATCAGGTGGGAATTTATAATAAAATAGGTTTATGAGCAGGTTACAAATAGACTTTGGTTTCAGCAGTTCTTGATTTAAAGGGGCCGTTCTATTAAATGTGGTTAAACTGCAAATTCAGAGTGGTGATAGTAGTGCATGGTGAATACTTACATGCAACATATATTGTTAATTATAGAAACCTGGTTCACCTCTGTGCTGTTATACACTAACTGATTAAATAGTTCTGAGACCATTCATGGTGCTGATTCACATTCACAGGCTTGTAAAACGTGTGAGCTGTAACTGTCATCAATCAGGATGTTCTGTTTTGTGACCTCTGGTAGGCGTGCAGTTCTTAATGGACCCAAAACTTGAGCAGAAAAGAAAACTTCAGTGTTTGTCAGCAGCCACGAGCATCATCACTGGAGATAAGAGGTGGTTCTGAAGCTACCATCAGGAGAAGATACAACAGTTTTGGAAGAGCTGTGGTTTCCAGAACCAGACAAGAGGGCTTCAGAGGGCTGTACTATGAAGCCAGATTAGTGGGTTATCAGGTATGCTGAGCTTAAAGCCAGAGTTTTCAGTAACACAAAGGTGGCTCTCTTTTTACCTGGTTAGGTCTCCATGGTAACTGATGCTGTGGAGCTAACCTGGTCAGGAGCAGGTTATGTTCAGAGTTTCAGATTCAAATGGAAAGAGCGTCTCCCTTTACCCAGATTGTTTCCTGACTGTTATTTATGAGTGATACAGATTCTCAGCTGAGGGAATGTGTTTATCTGCTAACATGCTGAGCTGTGCGTTACTGTGTAGTAATAATATCGCACACTGTCGGCGGAGACGTGCACAGAGTCTGAAGCAGAAAGCCTGAGTTGACAAAGAAAGTTGAACCACCTTCATGACACCAGTAGTCTCTGGCTGGGGCTTCGGCTTACACAAAGAAAGCCTGGCTATGTCAAACTTGCTTCGTAGTACAGCCCTCAGGTCAGAACCCCTCTTGTTTTCTTTAGCATTTACATGATCGTGCATCATCAATTAATCCCCCAGTGTTGGAATGTCAAGGAAGAGTTCTCCTGAGCAGCAAAGCATTCATCACTCTCCACCAGACTTGGCTCCCTGCGACTACTTCCTTTCCCCCGAAATGAAAGTCAAGTTGAAGGGTCACCGTTGTGACACCGTTTTCGGGATTCGGCGCTCGTCGCAGATGGTGCTTGACATGTTTACATAACGGGACTTGCAGGGAGCATGACAAGCCTCGCAGAAGCACTAAAAGCGCCGTATCGCTGCACAGGGAGAACACTCAGGCGAGGACGGCGGCCAAATTTAAATCAGGTGCGGTTTGTAATTTTTATTGGCACGGTCTCGTAACTTTTTTTCCAGCCCACGCATGATAGGAACCGTCTCATCAGCTGACCGAGTAAACGCAGTGGTTTATACTGATAGGGCAGACGTCCAGATACAAGGTGGATAAAAGGCAACAGAGAAGCTCATGAGGAGTTCTTTGTAAACGTAAAGCAAAATGAAAGTTGTTTAAAATATCTACTACTATACTCGTAACTAATATGTAGAAATTCTCCTTTGGGGCAGTTTTGAGAAGCTTCCCATCAGCTGCATCCAGGCTTCAGTATCAGACCAGAGTGAAAACAACACCTGAGAAATATGAGTGCGCTTAACTCCACACTGCACTACTTATCTCATAGAAGTTGATTAAAAGTCATTAAGGATAAGTGTCGCCAAACATCAGATAGAGTATTTCACTTACTTAACTTTTCATGTCCACCCATCTGGCGGTGAGAGTAATTACAAACACGGTGGACACTTGTGGAGTTGTTGCTTCTAGTAGTCAGCACCTGATATGCAGCCACAGCTGTTCCTCTCTCCGTCAGGGTTTCCTCTTCAGCTCTGACAAAGCAACTATTGCTGGTTGATGTGAAACACATCACTACCGGTGGACCAGCATGATGCCACAGAGGCCAGATTTAAAACTCCAGCACACTGTGAGATGCAGAGAGACTTTCCTGATGCACTGAAACACTGAGTGAATGTGTTTGGCTTGAAGGTAGAGGACACTGATTTATATTTATATGTCCCACACATCTCTATGCCTCTTTGGTGAGGGCTATCTGTTTTAATTTTGGCACACGTCTATCAAGAAAAGTCCTCAATCTGAACCATAACTCACTATGAAAAGTTTAAGGAGTATGTTTTTAAATTGTTCTTATTTCTTTGAACAGCGTAAAGAGTAAATTCTGCTGGTTTTAGAACGGTAAGAGCGCTATCTGTCTTCATTTGAGTGTGTTCAGGGAGCATTATGTTGTAACAGGTGGCTGGAAGTGGACTGTACATGTACAACAGTTTGGCGACTCACCATTGGCGGGGTTTCCTCCGGGGTTCAGAGTGACTCTGAAGGCCTGACGCCAGGTGTGGTGGCCGGGCGGAGCGTCACAGGGGTCGATGTAGAGAAGAACACCTCCGAAGCCCAACTCAGACAGTAGGGACAGCTGGACACACAACCACAAACACACAAAGACACAACGAGTAAGGAAAATGACCTATGACATACTCAAACATGAGTGAAAACCCGATACGTTACTCCTGTATGCTGCTTTTGTTATTTAATAGGACGTCAACAGACTCCTGCACACTGGCTAACCTGTAAAAATATATATTACTTCTGCTGCTTGAAAAGCAATCTCAACTCTGTGTCTTGCAAATGAAGATTTTAAAATATACTATCAGTGTATCCAGGAGGCCTTGAATCTCTTCTTCTAGAAGTTATTTCTGTGAAGTTTCTGCAGTGTTGCTCCCAGAGATCAGCTGCTAATCAAACAAAGTGCACCAGTGCTGTGATGTTGTCTTAGATTTTACCAGACGCAGCATCTGGCTTCACGTTGAACATTTATTGTCTGATATCATCCAGTAACAGCCACATGGCAGCAGGTACACATATTAAAGCTGAAGTGGCTTCCTGTTGTCTTTCTGTTCACACGACTGTTTTCATGATGATCAGAGGTTAAGCTGTGATGGTGTTTATTTAGCCGGCACCACTGGGAGACTAGTTTGTGGGTGGGAGGAAGCGCGCTGCAGCTGCCACAGTGCAGAGCCGTATTTCATTGTTGTCCATGGGAGATGTAGTGTCCTTGTTTTTTATGAGCGTAGATGACTATTTTATTGAATATGTGACACCAGCCACGGTCATGCTGCTCTCATCACAACTCCGTCCTTCACTGGAGAAAACAGGGACATGCGCGCAGACACACACGAGGACACACACGAGAAAAAAACTCACAAAAATCACCCACTTTCAATAAAACACTGCAACACACACAAGGCGAGCCGTGTTTTATGCATGCACACACACACAACTTTTTGTTTTCATAAGAACACTGTGACACACACACACACACACACACACCTGGCATTCAGATGGCACTACATCATAAACGAACGCAGTAAATGACACATATATGGAAAACCCTTCATCAGGAGAGTCAAATAATGTTTTTATGAATAACTGCACTGGGATATGACATTATAACAAAACAGAACCACACTCCTGAATATGTGGAACAGACCCAAATGAGTCCAACCAGGACGGGAACCATATGTGTGTCTATGTGTGTGTGTGTGTGTGTGTGTGTGTGTGTGTAAAATTAGGCCTGCAGTCACCGTCACACACTCATTAGCGAGAGCACGGGTCTCATCAATCATTCTTCCCCACTTCCATGTAAAGGGCAACCGTTTCTTATAGCTGCTGACACACGGAGACGTTATGAAGCGCACATGATCAAATGTGTCACAAACTGTGGGTGAAGAAGGGAAAAAATGTATATATTTAAAAAAAATGGGTCAGCAGCCTGTTGCTGGAAGCGTCCCGAGCGACGCCTGCTTCAGGCTCCTTTAACGGATATTTTTTTAAAAAATGCAGTCCAGTGACCCCCCTCTTTAAATATTTCCTCTCCTTTTATTCTAGTAACCTCCATTTGCTCCCGTTATGCCTCATTAGCCCGTCATTTATCACTAGCTTCACATTCAAAGGTGGAGTCAGTGTACAGTGGACAAAGCAAAGAGAAACGGCGTGAGACGATTTTATTTTTTATTACATACAGTCGTCCTCAGATGGATTCATCCCCTCCCATTAAAGAAAAGACAGAATCCACAACAGTCACTCAAATAACTAGAAACTGGAAAAAGTAATAATAAATAAAAATTTGCTAAATTATAATTTAGTGACATAGGACATTGCTTTTGAATTGTGGTTGAAAAGAATAATTTTAAAAAAATAGTAATAAAATAAAATAAAAAAACTGTCCCAGACAAATTACAGTTGTTTGCATGTTTTTCTTTGTTTTTTTTTTTTTGTTTTTAATATTTCTGTTGAACCACAATTCAAAAGCAACGCCATGATTTTCATTAAATTTTTATTCATTATTACTTTTGTCAATTTCAACTTATTTCAGTCACAGCTGTTTTTTTCCTTCTTTAATCAGAGGGTATGAATACATTAGAGGACTGTATTAAAACACGTTTTGATTTACGCGTCCTGATCCTTTTTTAATTTTCTTTATCGTATTTTTATTAAATTTAAGTGCACCAGAGTTTGCTAGCAGCTAATCTGCTTCTGTCCCTGAGCAGATAGTCACAAGAAAAACTACTTTGACAGCATAAAACAACACAAAACTCCTTCAGTATGAGATTATAAATGGGTTCAGTGTGATAAATAAAAGATAATCATTGGTGGTGACACTTTTGTGCTCATTTTAGCCAAAGCTTGAGGCTGTTTTTTTAAACACTGTAAAGCTTCCTGAGGCTTTAATATTTCCACTTCCTCGTGGCTTTAACCCAGAGAACAGATTGATCTTTCAGAGCTGCAGTTTAAACATCACACATGCATCAGAGTAAAAGAGAAAGTTATCAACAGTAATGATCATCTGTTGCCGTTTCATCCTTTAGGATTCGTTTATCGTACACAGGTTCGGGTTTCTTACACCTGCCTGTGGCCGGCTTGCACAGCGACGAGGACAGATGGGGAGAAGGCAAAGCGTTTACAGAGAGCTCTCCAGCAGACGGAGACGACCGGCGCCTCAGATTAAACTCGCCGATGACCCCACGAGCTCTACAGGACGGGTTGGTGTCACTCGTGTGTGTCACAGGTGTTAACTTCAGCGTTAATTAAAACGTCAGGATTAAGGGAATTATTGTTCCTCGCTGTGAAGTACATGGAAGCTGCTTCGCTCGTGTGTTGGGAGTCAAGCATGAATTAGCTAAGTCAATCCGACACCGTGCTGGATGCAGCTGTCAGTTTGGCTGCGGCGCCTTCTCCATCCCAGCTCCTTTTATTAGCTTCCGCCGGAGCTGTGAGCCGAGCGAGACGCATCCTCTGACGGAGGCCGTGTGAAATTATTCTGATGCTTAACTTTTAAGCCAACGCTGATGAAGAAGTCCTGAATGTGCTGCGGATGGCTGTGGACACATTCATCTTAATGAGGTTGAGCAAACCTTCTCCAGCTGCTAACAGGAGCAGAAAGCTCAATAAAAAGCCGGCGTGTACATTTCAAAATAAAAAAAAGGAACTTATAAAATCTACCAATCAGTTTTCTTTTCACCTAAAATATGCTGTTAAATTTGTGTGAGTTTCAGAGACTTCTTCAGATGTTTTTTTTTGTAGAATAAAGCTTCAGGACAATGCAGGTAAAGTCCTGGATGAGCTTTTCTTGCTCTCAGTGAGTCTGTTGAACCACAATTCAAAAGCAACGTCATGATTTTAATTTAATTTTTATTTTTGTCAGTTTCAACTTACTTGTCCTTCTTTAACGGGAGGGTATGAATACATTTGACTGTACACTCAGTAGTTTTCCAGAACTTTCCATCATTTGTTAACTCCTAGAAACTTAATTTTGTGTCACTTGCTGTGGCTCGAGGTGTTTGTTATATGAAGTCTTATTGCCACGTGTCATTTAAATATCATTAAAATAACACATCTGACGTGGTGAAGATCTGTTTGTTTAAACAGGAAGAAACAGAAGTAAAGAGTTTGTAGTGGAGGGAGGTTCTGCACTGGTTTCACCCCAGCATGGTATAAATGTGGGTCGTCTGTACCTGTATATAACGATTATAGAACGTAACGTGCAGTCTGACGTTTATTTAGTCACGGTTAGGACGCACGGACACAATAAATTCCCATTAGTGCACATTTCCATAACCGAACGCCGTAGAAGTCCTCGTGTGTTCAGATTTGTGTAATTAAATTACTTTTGATTTAATGGGAAGTGAAGATAAATTTACGAGTAATTAACATGTAAGTAGATGTTTATGTTTTAATTAACTGGATTGGAATTCATATTTTCCCTGTCGTCTCCTAATTGATGGGGAAACTCCTTTGAGCAGACCGTGGCTCACATCCAGCCAGAAACAGGCCTAATCAATCAGCTAACGCTGTTTCCTATGAGTGGATTCAGACGCAGTGAGGAGGAGGCGCAGATCGTCAGGTACGCCGATTTGATGTCAAATTAGCAGCGCATGACGAATCATATACATTAGGAGTGTAAGAATCCCGGCGCTGGGCTTCTCCAAAGGCCAGCGAGCTATACTTGGATGCTAGTAAGTTGTGCCTGAGATCGTTTAGGGAACTCGGTTTTAAATCCCCTCATTAGCTGAAAATCATTTCATACCTTGCACTTATTTTTAAAGACCAACAGACTTCATTGCTCAGGCTGGGTGCATATTTCTCCTGCTGCAGGATTACAGTATCGGGCCGATCTGAGCACTCTGCATTAACTCGTGTGTGATCCCCTTATCAGCCGAGTAGCACTTCTGCAGAGCTTTGATTGGATCTCACCTTGTACAGTAGAGGCGCCTGGCCGAGCTTGACGGCGGCGATCTGGTTGGTGAGGTTCAGGCTGTCTTTGGCTCTCCTCAGGTCGTCCACGCTGGCGTACTGGACGTCCACCACCTCCCCCTGGAGAGGAGAAGCAGCAGCGCAGGGATCAGGAGCTACTCAGTTCATCAAAGAGTTCTGCAGGATGTTTGAAACACCAGCTAGATGTCAGGTGACCAGTCGTAAGCACTGCTCACTGGCCTGTCCACACTGTGACTTTACTCCTAGTGTGGAACCTCAGTGCTTTGTGTGTTTGTGTCGTGAAGGTTGGATTGCAGAGCAGGTTTGCTTTACATGTAGTCAGCACACATCTCCAGTTTCATCTTTGTATTATGAATGTGATTGTAAGTTTGATCAGCGAACAGACCAGACATCATTTTTAAAGACTCAGTGAATTCTACCTGCAAACTGACTAATACGACGATTCCATCAGACAGAAACATCGCACTAAAAAAACAGAAAAGAAGCACAAACATCTGGAACAACAGAGACTGTGGCCGATAAACACCGACGTGATCCCTCAGGTTGTCGGTGTGCTCGGTGCAACAAAGAAGGGGACGGTGGAAAACATGAAGGACGTATCAGAGAGAGCTACAGGAACGGAAAGATCAGCATGCTGGGATATGCACCAATCCTCAGGAAGGTCCTCAGTGTATGAACAGAAGTATTGAGTGTCTGATGCCCTCAGTGCACCAATAATAACAACAACAACAACAACAACAATAATAATAATAATAATAATAATAATAATGCCACGGTGCAGGGACACGGTATGGCAGACGTGTGCTTGGTGCCTGATGAAAACAAAAGTCATTATTTCATTCACTGAAGTGCTAACATCCAGTGACCCACTTTCAGAAATGGAAACTTGCCAAACGCCTGCCTTCTAGTGATGCACGATATTAAGATTTCTGGCCGATGCAGATATCTGATATTAAGATTCCTGATATCGCCGATATTCAATTTTTGTTCACTCTGAAAAATGAGTATAAGTAGCACCATGACAACATGGAAACTATTCAAAAGAACCAGATTAAACCACATCGTCTTCTTTATTACATAACAAAAGTAAAACCTATTTTAAAATGGAACCATGTAAGTAAAAACATCTGTGAAACAGCAGCGATATTAAAGGTAGAGACGAAGGCACTGATGTGAGACAGTCATTGGCTAAATTTGTTCATCAGACCGATACCGATATATATATATAAAAAAACCACTAATATCGGCCGATACCGACGTGGTCGCTGACATATCGTCCCTACTGCCTTCCTCGACGCCTCTCCATCCTCAGACAAGGTTCCCCTCAGTCCCTCTCTGCCTCGAGCCCTTCAGACTCCTGGATTTCCTGGAGGTGACCTGTGCTGACCTTCTGACTTCTAAAGTCAACTTTTAAATCATTCAAATTAAAAGCAAATCTATTATTTTGACGGACTAATAACTAGTAATGTTAGCCCATGTTGGAGACGCTGCACTGCTGTAGTTTCTGCAATTGATGAGTCTTTGTTGCACAACCAGGAACAACTGGTATCACAGGGACTTAGTGGCTTATTTACTTAAGAAGCAGAAGGATGAAAATAGCTGAAGAAACGAGGAAGGATATTACTGAATCTGTCTTTATTACATTATCACTTCAGTATGTACAATTATGGAGCCTAACAGGCTTAATTACACATTGTCACATCATTGTGTTAGCATGTATAGATGTTAAAACATACCTACATAACGGCAAATTAACGAACAATTCTAATCCTTATTTTTAGTAACGATGGTGTGACAGGCGCTACAGCTCACTGCAATTAGAACAGATACTAAACTTTAAAAAAAGAAGAGTTCATGAATTATCAGCGTGCACGCAGTAAGTCTTTATGTAGTTTTTATAAGCAGTAGAACAGCACTACTATAGAATTTAATGACTTTAAAGCACCCCAAATCCACTTTATCAAAGTGTGTGTTTCTGTGTGTGTTCATGTGTGTGTGACGGAGTGAGTGTTGGCGTCTCCCAAATTAAAGTGACCTAGAAGTTGTTGAGCAAAGTCAAAGCCTCACTTTTTGGGGTCTCTCTCTCTCTCTCTCTCTCTCTCTCTCTCTCTTACTGACGCTCTCTCTTTCACCCCCCTCTCTCTCCCTCTTCCTTTCTCCCTCCCTCCCTCCTCCTCACCCCCTCGCTGCATCACCTGGGCCTGATTCATTTTTCATGTGGCCCGGGGGCGAGTGTAACGCGATGCTGCTGCTGCTGCTGCTGCAGTGGGGAGCGAGTGGTAGAGCGAGCCCGACTGTGGGAACGCGAGGAGGAGAGAGATCACATCTCCGTGCATTAGGGGAGCCCAGGAGAAGAGAGCGAGGGAGATTTATCGCTGCTGCCTGCATTTGCATCATAAAAGTCTTCCATTTAAACTGCAGGCCGTGGAACAGGACAAGACACAGCAAACTGTAAGACGGGAGAATCTCTACACGCTGCTGCTGCTGCTGCTTGAACTAGATCCATCTCTCTTTCCGCGCTGCCTGTTTAAAAAAAACTTTAATCTCAGGCGAGGTAATGAAATTAACGATGTAAGTGTCCTCTGTCTGGATGGAGCTGATGATGGTTTTCGTCTTTCCCGCCAGTCACACCAGATCTGGGTTTCTAAAGACGATAATGAGACTCATATACCTGGATGGATGGTGTCCAATAACCAATAAATAAGCACGGTTCAGTTACCACGGTCGCGTTCATGTGGTTTTTCTTTAACCAATGATCTTTTTATTTAATTTTCAAACCAGAGAATTAACGATGTGAAGATTTCCTGTGTGTGTTACACAAAAATAGTAGTGAGCACAAATTCTGTGCAGAATATTTGTACAGTCCATCCATCCACCATCTCTACACCTTCATCCTCACCAGGGTCATGGGGGGCTGGAGTCTATCCCAGCTGACTCAGGGTGAAGGCAGGTTCACCTGGACAGGTAACCAGTCTATCACAGGGCTACACTTAGAGACAGACAACCAAGCACACTCACATTCACACCTACGGACAATTTACAATCACCAATTAACCTCAGCATGTTTCTGGACTGTGGGAGGAAGCCGGAGAACCCGGAGAGAACCCACGCTGCACGGGGAGAACATGGAGACTCCACGCAGGAAGATCCCGGGTGTCCTCACCGGGACGCCAACCAGCGACCTTCTAGCTGCGAGGCGACGGTGCTAACCACCGACCCACCGTGCAAAACTCCAAAAGTGAAAAAGAAAAACCAACAACAAACCCACAAGATAAATCATGGCTCAATCTGCAAAACATTTCCGGCAAAAACCAACACAATCAGAGACCGATGCTGGTAACGAGATGTACACGGCTGTAGGACCGGATGTCAAGTTCTCTTCTCTTTCCTTATCTTTATTTCCCCTTCCTTAGTCTCCAGCTGCAGTAAATAAATTAAGGATGGATGGAAGTAGAATCAGTGGGGATCAGAAAGGTCTCTTACAAACGGTCCCCATGCTTCTTCAAATCCCCCCCCTTGGTTCTGAACAGAGTCTCTGATCTTTTCCAGGCTCAGGCAGGACATTACATCTCATCATGTGTTTTAAAGCAGGTTATCCGTTATGGGAGAACTCTGACTATGAAACGTGCAGCTTCCTACACAAACGCCGCTCACAGACTGAATCTGAGTCCAGATCTGAGTAGAGATGCATCCCTGCGCTAAATAACAGGAAATGAAGGAACAGTTAAAGTTTCAATGGACTGCATTCATGAGTGTGGAGCATCAAAGAGAAAGAAATCATTCCTAAACGGCCACAAATGTCCAGAATGACGCGTCTTCAGCTCAGCTTTTAACATTCAGTGCTTTTAATACATTTTCTTAAATTAGGAAAGGAGCCCAATCTCAACATGACGGCGGTCTGAATCATCCATCTGAGGAGAACTCTTTGGAAACCACTTGTCTCTTCTTGTCTGAGTTTGTGCAGCTGCAGAGAAAAACACGTCTGATGCAATGTGGCTGCAAATTTGATAATTCTACTAAAACCAATGATTTCTACTGAAATGCATCCAAATGTGTTCAATATTTGTGCAGCTGATTCTGTTCATGTGACTGAACGGCCCCGAGTCGGACTGGATGGTTTCTATTTTATGAATGTGAACACGTTCCCTCTGGCTGGTTGCCACCTGCTTAATTGTTCTGAACGATGTCACAGCCTAATTAACCCTCTGAACCCTGAAACCCGGCGGGAACGTTGGAAAGAAATGTTATATATTTTTAAAAAGATCACTGAAAGTCAACCATTTATCAGAAACTGTAAAAAACCTGCAATCCTTGAACTGATCACTCATGAGATTTAGTTGAAAACATTAACCAAAGCTGACATTAAGATGCTTTATTCTAAATGCTTCATCAAAACATTCTTGTTCCTTCAGTCATTCTGGTAAAAAGAAAACATTCTGCACACTGCAAAAAAAGGGCAGCCCAAGTATAAGATATAAACACTGAATCTGAGAAGAAAATGACTTAAAACCAGTGAAACTATCCGTCCATGCAGCAAGTACATGTTACTGGATAAGAAATAAGATTTTTGATGCTCAATTTAAGATTTTCCTTTAAAATCCAGGACTGAAAATGAGTAAATAACTTTTAAAACAAGCCAGATTATCTATCGTGTGTAAAAACAAGATTTTAAATCTTGGCCAATCCCAGATTATTTGCAGTGAACTTCAAGGCACGACTGAAACGTCATGACTGTCTCCTCACGTGACAGAAACTCCTGGACTATTCAGCTGAACTGTTTAAACAGAACAGAGGAGACAAACATGGACACAAACCAGAGAGATGAGCAATAGGACAGACTTTATGAGCGTTTTTTTTATTTATTTTATTTTTAAATAAAATAATTGTAAAAACCAAGTATGAAGAGGACGGAGTTGTCAGCAGGCTGCTGGAGGATACGTTCGTTTCATTTGCTGGAGGTCGTGTGAAAAATGACTCGTTTGTGAAGGTGGTTAAAGTTAAGTCACCTTTTTATTTATGTTTTTTCACCCAGTGTTGATAACCTACGAGGACACTGTGAAAAATGCTGTTCAGCTGATTTCTTGTGTGTGTGTGTGTGT